CAATGGACCTGGCCCAACACCTGCCCTTTTTAAAAAAAAAAAGAAGTTTGTATGGCACAAGTTCTTCCTTTACACCCGTGATAGTACTTTCCCTTCAGTGAGTTCTTCAAGCTGTGCAGAGGACAGACACAGGGAAAGAAAAACACATTACTGAGGGCAGCTCTGGAAGTCCAGGAACCAGGCTGATTCAATGCAAGAAAAATTAGCTAAAATCTATATATCTTAAACAAACAAACAAACAAACAAACAAAAAAAACCCAAACCAAAACAAAAAAACCCCAACCTCAACCAAAAAACCCATACAGGAACTCTTACTTAAACAGCTTCCCTTCTGGTGTTAGGAGATAGAAATACACCTTGCAGGCTGGACAGGTATTGAGAACCATGAAGCTTTTTTTCTTGATGAATTTAGCTTAGTAATGTCACCGAAAAGACAGAGACATTGGGTATCACCTTGTTAATTAATGTTCTGTTTGAAGAGGGAGCTCCCTTCTAGGCTTTCACGCTGATGGGATGCAGACCCCTGGAAGAGACTCCTCCTCGAAGACTTACAAGACACAACTGGCTGAAATCTTTGCCATATAGAAATGACACAAAGACCTCCACTGATTTCAGTAGAACAGGATTTGACTCTTTAATCTGACAGACAGCTGCAGCCACCTTCTATGTGTTTTATAGTCTTCATAGGTATAAAATTGGGGGGGGGGGGGGGTTTTGGTTTTAAGGAAATTCTGTTTAGAGTGGATAAAGACATAAATTCCTAATCTCAGTTCATCATATAACCATAGAACATCCCAGGTTGGAAGGGACCTCAAAAGATCATCTGGTCCAACCTTTCGTGAAAAAGAGAGCCTAGATGAGATTATCTAGAACCCTCTCTTGCCAAAATATTTGATAAGAAGAAACTGAGTGGAAAATAAATTACCTTTAAACTCCCATAGCAACCAGCAACTGAGTGGAATATAAGTTCATTCTGTTTTCATATTATCTATGATTACTAATTTCCCAGTGCCAGATCACACTGATTTTATCTTGACATTTGCTATCTCCTGATGACTCCTCCCTTTAAAACAAATGCAGAGTGTATTCCACTGATATCGTCTCATTTGCCTGATTAACAATTTGTGCAGGTCTTCTTAAACAAATATGTGATGGCCAATTTAGTTTGATATTTTTTGTTCATCTTGAATATATATAAACATATATTAGAAAGAAAGAGCAATAGAGACATATTGTAGCTATACCTTTCTGTCTCCCCATCCTCTTCCATATTTTCCAGCATACACGTCGTAGAAGTTTCTATAAGTTGTTGGACATGTTTGGCTTAGCAGAGTTGGAATAACAAGTATAAAAGTGCTGAGTCTAATAATCGTGTTAAACAGAACACACGTAGCAGTCACATGCATGAAATTGCTTTGCTAAATGTTAAAGTCAACAATGTTTTGCTAAGCATTTTTTTTCTTCCTAAGAGCTCTATATATTCCAGTGAAAATCTGCTCTTCATAAATGTGTTTTTCTCAGTGGTGGGCTTAACCTTGTTCTTTGACAGAGCTAGTGGAGAAGCAGATGCTGCTCCATATCTGACCTGCTGCAGTAGTTGTGTCTCTGTGTGACCTACAAAGCATTTACTAGACCCTAGGAGGAGTTATTGTACAAAATAATTGGAAGTATGATGGTTAAACCTAGACAGAAATGCACCATTCCAACTCTGTTCGAAGTCAAACACATTCTGCATCCTTTTTAAAAATACTGTTTCATGTGTCCCTTCCTGTGGAATTCAGGTTCAAGCAGAGCCACAGTGCAAGGCTACCTGGAGTTGAGCTGCTTTCGAGGACACTGATCTCTTCCTGTAAATCTGTCCTGTCTTCATTTTCATCTTTGCATTCCACACTGGGGCTGTAGTGGCGGGGTTTCATTAACAGGGACTTCCTTTTGTTGACAGGAATTCCTGGTATCTGGTCTTCGGCTTTTCTCTTCTTAGCCATGGAGCATTTGTAGGCACTGTAATGATCAATTGGCAATGATAGAGAAAGAAGTGGGACAAGTGAGGGGAAAATTGTTTAAAAAATAGCACCATCCTCTAGTTTAATTCTAAGTATAAAAGTGAGGACTGACAAAATATTAATTCAGTTTCAGCAAGTTGTGTTTAGTGGATATTTATTTTAGCTGATGCACTCAAAGTTCAGGGCACAGGCAAGTTCCATTTCTTTTCATTGCTGCCAAAAGGGAAGGGGCATGAGGAGGAAGACAAAACCAAAAAAACCATAATCCAACATCCTTAATCCTAAATAAGCATATGCTAATCTAAGCCCTGCTCTGCAGTAAAATAAATACACCCAGGAAAGGATGAACAAAACTGTAGCCTGGGCTGATAATTGAGAGAAACAGCTGAGGGGAAAAATATACCACCAGTTATACTACAATATCCTGAACCTTTGGCTCCATTACCTTTACGTCACTGTGGATATCCAATTACACACCTTGAGTTCAACAGCATAAAACTGTGTGAAACACACTGTACCATCAGAAAATTTTGCAGTACAGGTCTTTTTTTTAATATCTGTCCCAGTCATTGGTTTAATTTCATTAACTTCAGCCATAAATGCCTAGTTTAAGTTCTTTTTAGGTCTCTATATAGACTTTGGAAAAGGGCTCATCCAGAGGGCAATTCATCCCACTTAAAACTAGATCTATCTGATAAACAGGGTGAGCTGTCCCCTGGGAAAGGCCTTGCCCCATCTAGATGTCTAACTTTCAGATGACCATCATAAGGAGAGGGCAGTATTTTAAAGAGGAAGATTTTTAGCAGTTTTGATATACTTCTTTCAGCTCCTATGAAATCCACATATTGCTCTGCATATTAATTTGCTTCTACAGATATTTAGCAAAGCCTTTGCTGCCATGCAGCTGATCTGGGTGGCATATAGATGATACATCATATGACACCTCACTAAGGACGGCTTCAACCCTTTCTTTTTAATAACTTTTTGTGTAAGCAATTTGGCAAGACTTCATTGTTCTCTCACACACAGTATTCTAAGAAATTTCTGTAGTACGAGTAATAGTGCTTATATTATATCTGTCAGAGATGAAAAAGCTACATATACGAATCTGTGTAATCCACTCAATGGTTTCTTGACCTTAGGCACAGCCAGGGTGCATTACAAATCTACACGATGCCCTTAGGTGTTGGATTTTGCATTTGGCTCACTGACTTAGCTGCAAGATTTGCAAAAAATCCATGTATGCAGAGAACTCCTATTGGTTACACATATTACAAGCTCAACAGCATAAATTAATCCTTCCAAGGTATCTTATGTACACTAAATTGGCTCAGGTTCTGATTGTTTTGGATGAAAGCATATGACTAACTTGAGCTTTTCGTTAAAAAAAATTCCCCGTTTTTGGCTAAGCACCTTTTTGGCAATCCATCATTGCAAACATGAAGGACATAGACATACGAAGATCTGCGTTTTAGGGGGAATGTTAAAACGCTACCATACGCATCTTAAACACAGTGCATATTCTTGTTCTTCTGAAAGCTAAAATGCTATGGGCATCAGGAATACTGGGTGCTAAGCACCTGCTGTAGTTGAATTTATTACAGCTTCTGTGTTATTTCTCTGTTTATGAATAGAGGATAACATGAGTATCATATTAAAGGTCAGAATCACAATGGTATAAGCGTCCCCTTGGAAATGATGCCCATATAACAGACATCAGGGATGGGTGTAGTGCAGACAAATATGCATAATTTATTTCTAAGAAAACGCAATCAAGAGTTTCTTAATTTATATGTGTGAACAGCCCTTCATACCATTCATGTTGTTTCAGGAAAATTGAATAAAAGACAAATGTTTGAAAACCCTTCACACACCATTGTTTTTATCAACCAAAACCTTCACTAGGTTTGCTTTTGATCTTTCTCATTTATTTGTCAAGCTTCAATTTTACCTCCGGTAGCTACTGTGAGAGTGTTTAGGACAAGATGAATTTCCAGTATTTAATTCCCCTTTGACGAATCTACAGCTGCTTCTTACACAAGCATAATTAATAGATTTTTAGAACAGAAGATCCAATTAGATCACCTAGTATGCCCTGTGCAACACAGGTCATAGAACTTCATCTGGCTCTTCGGTTTTAATCCTGTAATTTGTCTGACTATTGTGTATCTTCCAGTCAAGTTAAGGGAAAACATGGTAAGACAGTAAGTCGATTGCTGTATTTTTGGTCACTAAGTACAATCCTTTTCTAGTTACATGATGTTAGAAGCCCATCACTGTGGGCTGGCACAACAACTATTAAACATGCTGGTTTTTCACCACAACTGTGAATGATAGCCCAACTCAGATGTTATCAAACCACAGTCAGGACCAGGGCGGGGGTACTGCTGCCACCTGCCACCTGCAGGTCTGCTCTGGGAAATGAGAGCACAAGAATCCCACTTGACTGTAACTACCACAGTTTACAACAGTAAATCAAAAGCTGCCACATCAGTGCCAGGACAGGAGGCCCACAAATCTGCCTGGAAGCACATTGCTCATGTTAGAAAGTTTCTCCTCTATGAAAGACTGATGCCTTAACTTGTCCTTATCCTATCTTTTTCTGTACACAAGTGGCCACTCATCCAGATTTCCTCTATAGTTCCCACCATTTTAAAACAAGTGAATACACGAGATTCAACTTTAAAGTAAAATCATTCCTGACGCCCTCCACTCTGATTACAGGAAGAGGACAAAACACAGTTGTTGCTTCTTTGCTAAGAAGTGCAAATTGCTCTCCATAGGCCGAAAGAGATTTTTCAGCTCCAGCAGAATACACTCTTGCTTTTGCTGGTGACTTTTTAAACTGTTCGTTTTGGATTTTAACTGGAACCTATTAGTTTGCAAGAGCCAGTTTAAAGATCTACCATATACCAGCAATTCCCCTTCTCTTCCACCTTACAGTGTTTAAAAGTAAAAATGAAAATAAAACCAGAAAAACAACTTCACAAGTGGTAGCTTTTTCAAATATTTGCACACGATTTGTTAAGTATTTGATAATGGACACTGGGAATTTAACTACTATGAAAGGAATATATTTATGCCTTTGTAACATTCATGGCACGTCAAATTCACTTTTGTCTTAAAAAGTTTCTGTTTCGCTCTTTTGATTTTGTACATGCACACATACACACACATAAGTTAGCACAGATTTGTCAAGCTGTAGTTTGTCAAATGGTAAACCTATAATTTAGCTTCTCTATTACTCATCTCATAAATTCAGTGTCTAATAGTTTTGTTGCTATTTATCAATGGCCTGCTTGTTGTCATGGAACACTGATTCGGCTGTCAAGGTTATTTGGTAATCTGGGGCTCATAAAACAGAAGTTCTTTTTGTTATGAGCCCAAAGCCAATACATGGGTTTTTTTTCTCAGTTTAACTGTACTTAAATTTTATGAATAATAAATAATTTTAGTACTATCTATATTAAGGAGATTTTTTACTTTTTTTTTTTTTTTTAGTCCATGACTCAGTTACCAAAAACAGTCTTATGTCATAGTGTGAGCCAAGAGGTTAAAATCTAAGACATGTAAGACCTGGTTGCATGTGTTGAAAAAAAAAAAAAAAAACCATGATAAATCTTTCATATGTATTTCATATCTAAATACATTTTGGGGGAATTTACTGGGTCCTTCTTTTTCCTTTATTTCTGCTCAGAATAGATCTTGGATGGTGTGAGCAGACACTGGTACACACAGAACAGTGCATTGGCACCCTACCACAAAGCAATGCCTCAGAAGAAAGAGGTTTTATGCAGTCCTAACCACATACAGCTTTTCCTACTGCTAAAAATTGTGATGCTCATCTTTTTTTTTGTAATTGGTTCATCTAAGTGATGTGTTTGTCAAGCCTTTACCCAACCTTTAACCACTTTGTAGCCAGCAAGGATGTTTTGTTGTTAATTTGTTGGCAAGACTTCCAGATCTCTGGGGATTTTTTTCTTACTCACAGCAGCCTGCAGATTGGTAACGCATGTTAACAGAGCAAAGAATTGCCATAGTGGGTAAAACCAGGGGTACATTCAGCCTGACAACTGGTGTTTACTAATGCCTCTAATGGATGCCATGTAAAATAATAGGAACAGAACACACAGCATCTCATGTACACTCCTTAGCTTCAAGGGAGAAAAATAGATGTCTTAGAATATCAAGGCACTTACTTACATTTATTGTCTAACACTATTTAAGGAGCCCACTCCTCATGTCAGTTTGTGCAAGAATAATTAATGGAACATTTCAATTTGTGGAGAAAATAATTTAAAATTCTTAACCTGAATTGCCTTTTGACTGTTTGCTTAATTATACTACAAAAGTAAGCCTTAGACTATTGAATTACCATTAAAGGAGACATCATCTTCTGATCTGCAGAACCATTTAACTTCACACCCGTAGTTACAAGGAGAAGATTAGTCTAACTACTCCTTTATTGTATTGTGATTAAAGATGTTGCCAGATGCTTTAGGCCTTATCAGGTTTTGTTCACAAACTTGCAAATGCCCTAGGACACCGTGGAAGTCAAATACTACATTTTCCTTTCAGGAGGGAAAAGTTGGTATTTGAAGATTCAGGGACACTTGCCATTCTCAGATGAACCAGTAGCTTACAAATATCTGTCTTGGTTGGGATTTCTTCTAAGAATTTTAAGACTGTACTGAATCAGAGGTACCTACAAGGAACAGAAACTCTGAATGTCTCCCCACCTTAGTCCTCTTCTATGTCAGCTTGTTCTCTAAGAAACAGATGAGCTGAATTCTGTCTAGCTCTCTAGCACAATGGCTTCCAAAGTTTTAGGCTATAGCTGAAACTATCTGATCCCCCAAAATCACACAAAAATCATGAGCTCCTCATAAGCTGATGATGGACAGGAGAAATTACTAGCAATGGGTACAGAAAGGGGATGATCTGCTCCTAGGATGGATCACATGTTGCTTGAAATGACACTGATGTTATTGTTTGCAT